GCGGCTTCTTCCCGCTCCGTGCCCCGTCTGAGACGCTCCCCGTCGACTGGGAAAAACAGGGGGGGGCGGTTTCAAACGGCCCCACCGTACCCAGCGTCTCTGTTTCTCCGCGCTCCCTAGGTCTGGGGAGCAGGCCGTCCGCCCCAAGAGCGGGTAAGGCCGGCGTGAGATTGTCGTGGAGGGACCGTCGAGGCTACCTGCCCCACTGTAACCCTCTCTAAGGCCGCCTAAAAGGCGCTGCGGCCTCAATCTTCTTCTTTCCTTTCTTCTGTTCTTCACTTTTTGTTGGCTGTGCTATGCAGCGCAGCTGGAGCACGTCCTGCTAAAGGCAGGGCCGGCAAAAAACTGGGCAGCCTCCAAGGAGATAAGCCCCTCCCCGCCTGGATCAAAGCTGGAGCCGACCGCAAGGAGGGAGGAGGAGCTTATATCCCAGACGTGAGGAATGTCCCACGAAGAACCACTGGAGAAGATGTCTGGCCATGGGAGAAGAAGCAGCCCTCCTAACAGATGTTGAGTTTTTCATCAAATGCTCTGGAATGCTCTTGTTGACCTCGTTATAGAAATATTCTGAACAATTTCCATACTGGTTCCTAAGTTTTCACAGAACTCCTAAGTTTTCACAGAGGTCTTATTTTATCCTTGAGGTGTACATGATATATGCAATTGGGTGCAGACCGAAAGAGATACACCTTTACTGAGACTACTGAACACTTTGCTTGAAAGAAAAAAAAAAAATCTTATCATTCATATGATTAACACAGCCATTTAGAAGGTTCAGCAGCATTCAAGGCTTCAGTTTGATCGTCCTGCTGTGATATGATATAAAAAAGGGTAAAGGTGACACGACCGATAGCAGTGGTATTCACAACACTTCTTCAAACAAGGTGAGATCCAGTATGCAGGGATTTATTTAGCTGAAATAGGCATTGGTTTTTATACATTGTAACACCACAGCAGCATCCTTAAAGAATGCTGAGTTTGAAATATTGCACATTTAAAAGATTGTAACAAAAGGACTACATATACAAAGTATTACAATCATATAGTTATGATTCCTTTTCTTATGTTTGTTCCTTAGGGGGGTGTTGTTGTTTTTTGTGGGGTGGTGTTTTTTTGTAGAACAGTTCAATTTGTTCTTATTTGTTAAACACATATTTACAGGTTTTTTGCTGTATGTTGTATGGAAACTGGTTTGAGGCAGGTTTAGGGCTCTTGGGGAAAAGAGTGCTCTCTACTTACAGCACATGGCAAACAGTTATTGATTCATCTAACAAACTTCTGGCTACCCCAGCAATTTCCCTTTGTTGCTCTTCTGGAGAGTAGCCACAAATACTGAGGTCTCAATCAAAACTGCCCTGTCTACTGAAGCAAATGTTATTAAGGGAAAATAGCCAAGAAGTACCCCAGTCCCTGCTAACGTTTTCCAAACAGGTTTGCCAATGCCAACCTACAGGTCATGCCCGGTTCACCATGTACCCCTTAGAAACTGGCGGGGGTGGGGGGACTTACCGGTAGCAGGGGAGGCCTTCTCCAACATTTCAGCCATGTTGTAGGTGACAACACTTCCAGCATGCATCAGAACTGACGCTTTGGTATTTGGGCAAAAACTCTGTGGTAAAAACAGTTTTTACCATAGAGTTTTTGCCCAAATACCACAGCATCATCACATGGCTGGTAATGCAATCACATCACTTCTGTGTGCACTAAACGTGACATACTACAAAGCCAGCAACACCAGCCTAAGGCTATTTTTGCTGCCACAATGTGGCTGAAATGCATGGCTAGGCCTCCTCCACTGCCAGTAACCCCCTACCTGCCAGTTGATTGGGAGGGCATGGACGGGAGAGGGGATCCCCTGTCCCAGCAGGGTTCTGGAAACCCAAGGTGGTGGCTGGAGTTCTCTTGGAGTTATAGCTAATCTCCTGACTGCAGGGATCAGTCCCTGTGGAGAATGTGGCAGAATCAGAGGGTGGACTCAACGGCATCACACCTCTGTTAAGCTCCCTCCCCTCCCCAAACTCTGCCTTCCTCAGGCTTCACCCTCAAATCTCCAGGAATTTCCCAATTCAGAGATTGCAACCCTGTTTCTAAATGCTGAAAATGTCATAGTGATGGCTTGGCGACCGAGAGGAATGCAGATGAGAGGAGCAAAGAGCCATTAAGAATGAGACACAGGACTGCTGAAGAGGACTACTTCTCCTATTGCCTTCAGTCAGAAACCCTGCTGTTCAGTATCTCTTCACCTTTATTCAGGTACAACTCCAACTTTAATCCTCTCTCATTCTTAACTTCAACCCTTTTTTTTGAAATGCAGATAACACTTGCTGAAGCCTACTTCACAGTGACCTTTGGAGACTTAATTAATATTGGAAATATGTAATGTGAGATTCTCAGGTGAAGAAACTACAGGAATTCTAAATTGTATCAATATTTCATACTCTCTGCATTGAAATTCTTATCTTGGTTGGCATAATCACTCATCTAATTCACCCTTGTGGCTCATTTCCATAAGCAACCTCAGAAGAAGTTTCAAACATTTATAGTGAAAAGATGTATAAGAAACAGAAAAGTACCCTGTTAGAAACAGTTTCCAGATAAGGACAATCTATTTAACAACTCTTAACCCTGAGTGACACCCAATCCAGAAGCATTTAACCTGCAACTGATCTGTAACTCTTTTGGTGGCCTACAGAAGAATCCGGGAAAGGATATGGGAATCCTGTGGTGGTAATTTGATAGCTTTGATGCTTTCCAGGAAGTATTTTGTTTTCAGTGGATGCCATTATTCCCTATGTGTATCCACCTCGTTAAATAATGCTATATTAGACACAAGGTACACAGATGTTGCTACAAAAATAACTGGATACTCTGAGATCTCAAGATACTTGCACTGCTCAGCTCAAAGTTGCAAATTGGCTTATCTCCTCAAATAAATTGTCGACTCAGGGCTGTAGCCAGTGTAGGGACAGTGGATAAACCATCCTACTGGGAGTACGGATTTATCCTACCTAAGATTTTTTAGTATGTGATCTGAGATCTTCCACTGACAAGATGACAGCTTGTTTTTGTAGTAGGAAATTTTCTGATTAAAATAACATATCGGTGGTGATTGATTGTCCATCCAAAAATGGGTATTGCACCAAATTCTACCCATCTGACTTGCCTAACTTCCACAGGTTCAGCAAGAATTTTTCATGATCACCATCACTGGATAGGGGCTGTGGCTCAGTGGTAGAGCAACTGGTTGGCATGCAGAAAGTTCCAGGTTCAATCCCTGGCCTCTCCAGTTGAAAGGACAAGGTAGTAGGTGATGTGAAAGACCTCTCCCTGAGACCCTGGAGTCTGCTGCCAGTCTGAGTAGACAATACTGACTGTGATGGACCAAGGGTCTGATTCAGTATAAGGCAGCCTCATTTGCTGATTCTTCAACTGCGTACATGGATACATATATGATACAAACAAAAAAGGCAATACAAGGCAGGAAAGAGAAGCATTTGATCAAAACCTTATTTGAGTGTTGCATATAGCATATTACTGGACAGAGGTAGGAAATGAACTGAGCATACAATGACACAAATGACACACAATATCACCAATGGTAGTACATTTCATTAATTTAAGGGAAAGTGGGAGAAAGGGCTTTCCTGTTACACAGTCACATTTACAGCCAGATACAGCCACATGCTGAGATCCCCCAAGAAATGGATTATTTAAACAAATTTAATGAACATGGACTCTTTGCATATATGCTTGGGATCTGTATGGGTGGAAAAAACTAAGACCAGAGTCCTCTTCGTATTAATTTCATTTCAACACAGCAAGCAAGTCCAAGGTAAATAAACCTATAACACATATTCAACTCTAGCGATATGTAACACTTATAGGGATTCTGTCATCCATCACATGTCCCATGCCACGATCAAAAGCTGGTGGTCAAGGGCAACCAAGTATATCACCCAATATATGCTTTGCAGCTAACCCATCCTATGTCAGCCAACATCACTGCCTACAGAAACTATCCACCCATACTCAAGAATCCTCTCAGATAATCCACCAGGCAGCAGAATGGTACAAATCTACAACAAGACCCAACACCTTGGGCCTATGTACCCTAATATCCCAACAAGCTGGTCTCTACAAAACAGGCAGCTCTCTCTTCTCCTTTTCCCTACCCCTAGGGGTCATTTCCTGCGGGAGCGCACAGGAGCAGTGCTCCGGCAGTAAGGAGCCCAGGGGGCGGGCACAAGCAACAAGCCCTGCCCCCTGCTCCCAGCAGCCCTTAGTTGGGCCACGAGGAGCAAGAAGCAGCCAGGTAAGTTGCAGAGCCCCCCTCAGCCCACCTTGAGGTACAAGCTCTCCCTCCTCTGCAAGGACAGATTTGCACGTCCCCCCCCCACCAATAGCTAGCAATCCAAAACAGTCCAGTGGAGCCTGAGCGGTGCCTTCTGACACACTTCCGGTGATGTCAGGGCGTGTGGCACATGCAAATAAGTTATGCTAATACATTATGCTAATGAGCTCCTGCACCTCTTTTTCTATGAAATGACCCCTGCCCACCCCCATATCCCTTCTGTCATACTGAATGCTTCGACAAGTACCTGTTTGCTGTTCAGAAGGAAATCTCCTTTCTCACCGTACCATAATATGCAAAACTTAAATCCACCCGTTTAGAAATTGTGTTTAGAAATTGCGTATAATAATAAATCAATCAGTTTGTACAAAGTTCCTTGAAAGGAGATGCAAAAAGGAAGTGGTAATTACAGAATATAGAGAATGCCTCCTCTCAGCATCAACTGAGGACACGGTGGTCATAATCACAGCAAAAGCCAACAGAAACATGAAGCAGCAGAGCCAACAGCACATCTGTGCAAGCTATAAAACAAAAACTCCAGGGATATCATGACAATGAAACCACCCCTCAGAATTCTTACAACAGACAGGCATAAGTATAACAAGAAAGGGTCAAGAATGCAGAAACAATGATAACTCCTTTATCTTACCTTTGCCATCTGGGCCTGCACTCCATTAGCTTTAAGAGATGCTACCGCTTTCTGTGCTGCTGCTGGACTGTCAAAATCTACAAAACCGTAACCTTAAAGAAAGAAAACAAGCTATTAATATTTGAAAAGAGCCCCTCGCGTCATCAAATTCTTGGCAAGTTATTTCCTCCTAATGATCTCAGCTACCATGTTGGTGATTCCTTTCCTTTCTTCTACTCCAAGATATCATACTATGCTTCAATATTGACTTCCATAAAGCCAGATTCTAAGGGTATCATGGTTTATGTTTATCAGATTAACCCATGAGTGGATATTAACTGTGACCTTTGTTTAAAACATTTTCTACTATTACATTTTCATTCACCTCTGATCAGCACAGAGTTTCCCCTTCAGTGGCCAGAACACTGATTTCCAACGGTTCTAATAGAATTATGCCACCAAGTTCCATTGCACTGAAGTACATTCTGGACACCTAATTCCATTAATACTCATCGTGTGAATATTTTTGGAATTTAAGTAAAGGTCTCTCTTGGAGAAAGGTCACGCCTCCACTCCTGCCTTCCTCGTAATCCTTGCTGCAATCCATACAGCTAACACCAACTTGCTTGAAAGCTATAATAATATTAGCACTAGAATGCTGATAGCTTAACAGCTCGGCAGCAGACATCTCCATTTACTAGGTCAATATGCATTAATACAGAACGCCAGCCACAAATCTGCTGCTGCCTTTACTGTTCTACATTTTTTATTATCTATAAGCCTTCTGTGTGAACCAAAAAGAGAGAAAAAGAAAATGTGCATGTGCATCTTCACAACCAAAAACAGTTGTTGCAAACTTATAAATCGTATTCTAAGAAACTAAACTCAATGTACATATCCTGGATAGAGATTAATATTTTAAAAGGTAGACAAAGCAAAGTTGAAGAGGACAGACACATTTGAGAATTCCGGAGAGACCAAGAACATTTTCTTTGTCTTGACCTACAGTTGGTGCTAAGGAGGTAAGATCACAGGGTTCAAGGAGGGATAGAAAGTGAGGCATTGGAAGGAGATAAAGACACACACAACCAGGGCCGGCTCACTCACTAGGCGAACTAGGCGATCGCCTAGAGCAGGCCGGCCCCTGGGGCACCAAGCTGCACCCGGCCCCGTACTCTGGGAGTTTCTTGATTATTTGTGTTTTTCATTCTTCCTAAAATGCATTTATTTTTGAAAATTGGTGGGCACATGGGGGGGCGCCAGAAGGGATCCTCGCCTACGGTGCAAAATAAACTGTGGCCGGCCCTGCACACAACCATTTTTGGTAAAAACATGGCCACAGCTTATTTTATTGAAGACAGATCAAGGAGTGATGGCACAGCAGAGGGATGGATCCAAGCATCAGGTGACCCACCTGCCACCGGATGAACAACCCCTTCCCAGCCCACCTTCTGGAGGATAAACCATTGAATGGCAAGATAGTGGGACACATGCAGATGCCTCGACGTGGTCCCCTGGCCACCTCGGGGGTGGAAGCCAGCTGGCAGCCCCTGCTCTTCCCCACCCCCATATCCCTTCTTCCATCCTGAATGCTTTGACAAGGACCTTTCTGCTATTCAGAGGGAAATCTCTATTCTCACTGTACCATAATATGCAAATAATAAATTCACCCATGCAACAGTTTAGACATTGTGTTTAGAAATGTGCATTATAATAAATCAATCAGTTTGTACGAAGTTCCTTGAAAGGAGATGCAAAAAGGAAGTGGTGATTACAGAATATAGGGGATGCCTCCTCAGCATCATAATCACAGCAGAAGTCAACAGACACATGAAGCAGTAGAGCCAACAGAACATCTGTGCAAGCTATAAAACAAAATTCCAAGGAGATTATGACAATGAAACCACCCCTCTGAAAACAGAGGTCGGAGGCTTGTGTGGGCTTGCTTAAATAGCCCATCAGGCTGCATAGCCCGTGCCCACAACACGATGCACTGACTGATGTGGCACACTGCAGGCAAACCATCCAGCCCCTTTACCGGAGGGCACCATGTGGCCCAGTCACACCTCCTTCCAGCCTCACCCACCTCCTGGTCCTCAAACGACAGCAGAGGTAAGTCTTGGTCGTGTCTATGGCCAATTCCATTTCTTTTTGCTCATATTCTATGCATTTTTAACCTGTTTAATTGTTGCTGATTTCACTTGTTTTTCCGTGCACTTTAAGGCCATTTTTGTGTCACTTATATGATATCTATTTGTAAGTGATATATAAATAATATTAAAATTGCTTACATTTAATGGGAAAACTCAGGCATCAGGAAACAGAAAATGGCACAAAAATAAAGAAGAGATTGGATTTATATCCTGCCCTTCACTACCCAAAGGTGTCTCAGAGTGGCTTACAAACCCCTTTCCCTTCCCCTCCCCACAACAGACACCCTGTGAGGTAGGTGGAGCTGAGAGAACTCTGACAGAGACTGCTCTTTTTCAAGAACAGCTGTGCCAGAACTATGGCTTGCCCAAGGTCATCCAGCCAGGTGCAAGTGGAGGAGTGGGGGAATCAAACCCGGTTCTCCCAGATTAAAGTCCGCGCACTTAACCACTACACCAAACTGGCTCACTAAAGACATGTGATTGAGTTACACAAAACACATGGAAATGAAACAATGACTTTTCATCAGAATAGTATGCCTCTGAAACTCGGTAGCATCCCTAGTTGGTGTGGAGACCGAGACAGTCTTTCTCCAATTTACTTTCTTCAGTTGTCTCTCATCTACCCTCTCCAACTCAGAGATTTTTATTTTAACAGACCATTACAATAAAGCAAAAAAAGTTTCCTAAAATATTTTTATTTATCTATAAACCAAATATAATACATAAGTGTACATAAACAAATCAGCCCTTCTTGTAACAGAAAATGCATTGTACATGTGGATGGAAGGATCCTCTTTGATCCAACTTAATGAGTTAAGCAGGTCTTGCACCCATGTCAAGTATTTCAATTCAGGGTTTTGTTTTGTTTTTTTATTTGTTATTTTTATTTCAAGATAAACAGAAGCAAAATTACAGAACAATATAATTATGCATATATACAGAAGTATTCAGAATCATATTTGGAGCAAGGTTTTGACATTTTAACTTTTTAACAATAGTGCAAATATGTTCAAAATAATACTACAATCTATGCAACCATGCTACATAAGTGTTAGCAAAATACTTCAAACTTTAAACGATAGGAGTCCATAGTAATAGGGCATGTGGGTGTGGCATAAGTTTTAGCTATGAGAATAGCCATGATTGTTCAGTAAGAATAGTTTGGGTTTCAAAGCCATCACTGCAACTGTGACCATTCTGAGGTTATAAATTCATTCTGTGACAAAAATTCTAATATTGGGTACCATTTACCATCAAAGTTGGATTTGACCAGTTTCATTTGAGATCTATTTATTTTGTCAGTAATATTATCCATTAGATATTGCTCCCATAATTTTTTGAACCATAAATTTAGGTTAGGGGGATTAGCTTCCTGCCAACACGATGCAATTGCAGTTTTTGCTGCAAAAAGCATGATATCAATGGTTGGTTTGGACTGGTTCTTTTACAAGTCTTCCGGACAGTGATCTAAGAATAGAGCTTCGGGAATATTGTGGTGCCTGTTATGGTGTGGATGTGGTGTAAGACTAGTTCCCAGAATGTTTGTATCTTAACACATTTCCACCAGCAGTGGGCATATGTTCCTTCATTGCTGGCAACCTTTCCAACAAAGGGGTGATTTGGTAGGGCACATATGAGAAATCTGTTGTGGCGTGAGATACCACCAGGTCATTATTTTGAGAGTTTGGAGTTCCAATGATATAATGGGAGATTTAAAACTCAGGGAGTTCCAAAGTGTGGACCAGATGTCGTTGTCGAGTAAGAGATCACAATCCTTTTGCCAACATAGTTGGTAAGGCATGAGTACAGATGGTGATTCGCTAAGTAACAATTGATAAATGGCAGAGACTAGGCCTCGTTTTCTAGATTCAAATAGTTTTATAATAAGTTCTAGATCGGTGTGTGGAGTCTTGAGAATGGTAAGTATTTTATGTTGTAGCTGTAAATATACAAACCAGGGCTGTGTGTGGAGTCTTGAGAAAGGTAAGTATTTTATGTTGGTTGCATGTGTGTTGTAGCTGTAAATATACAAACCAGGGTATAGGTTGACCTAGGATTAATTCCAAGTCTGATTTTTGCAATAGGCCTTGTCTTGAAGCAATATCACAATACCGTGTTAGTCCGTGGTCTTTCCAGCATTTCTGAGAGATTGAAGGCACATTATCTAGGAACCAAGGCTGATTAATGAAATTCAGGGTTTAAGCAAATTTAGCAAGTATAGAGACCGAACACTTTGATTAAAAAATGTCATTTATTCTCTTTGTAAGAAATAATTAATGGAAAGTACACATTTTAATTAGCTAGAAGAGAAACTGAGTTTGAAGAGCAACTGAATCCAGCAGTTCACCTCCTTTAAAGTTGTTGAGTTTTTTAGTTATTTAATTTATTTGATTTAAAATATGTGCATGCCCATCTTACTCCTAAGAAACTCAGAAGTCAAGATGGTCTTAGTAAGGTAAAGGTAAAAGTTTCCCTTGCTCGAAAGCCAGTCTTAACCACTTGAGCCACCGCAGCCCCCGGTCCTAGTACACAATACAATCATTTACAACTATTGTTTAGAATATGTGGCCCACAGGCCAAAGGCAACCCCACTTGAGATTTTCAGCAATATTGGTGGGGGAGCAGTTCAAGTAATATTTATTAAGAAACTGAGGAATTATGTTCTACCATAACTACATTGGGATGCCTCATCATCATCTTGCCATTCAGAAAGTAATAAATTTATTCCCATATGCAAGTAACTTTTACTGGATAATGACAGAACAAAGTTTGAGTTAAGTAGCACTTTTGAGACCAACAAAGTTTTATTCAAAGTGTAAGCTTCTGTATGCAAATATTGAGAGTCTTCTTTCACGAGCACTGGGGGGCAAACTTTTTCTTGCAAAAAGACATCCCCCCCAGTCTCAAAGAACTCCTAACCCACAATAAGGCAACATCTAATTTGAACACGGACATTGGTA